AGTGCAAATACTTGTATCCTTTCGCATGGAAATGCTAATGATTTACAGACCTGCTCTCCTCTTACCTTCCATTCCTGGGAAAGAGGACTTAATTGGATAGCATATTGAAATGATTAAGGGCTGCATTTAGTAATAATATTGTGCTTTAGTTTTATATTACTCATACGCCATGACGAAATAAATTCTGGTACTATCAACTTAACTATCACATTATTATGATAATTTATTTAAATTATTAATTAATCGATTTTAACTTGTTTAACAGGTGGCAAGCACCTCAAAAAATATTTTCGAAATAAATCGTTTTGGAACCTGTTTCGTTTAACATCTGCGCTGTTGTAAAATTTTATATACCTTATTAATTAATTCATTTTAACTTTTGGAAATGGTGAAAGCTCTTTAAAAAATATTTAATTAAATATTTGTTAATTAAGGATATAACCTATCCGTGTGCCAAATTTTATTCAAATATATCTAGCCCTTTTAGCTTGAAAAAGCAACAAACATGCTCGCACACTCTCAAACTTTCCATTTACATATATTTCGTAATAGTAGAATTATTTAGATTGAAGAAAAAGAGCGCAATTTTTAACATAAGCAAATATTCAGAAATACATGTAAAGGCTAGGACTTAAAAAAGAAAACGTTTTCGCATTATTCAATTAAAATATTAAAGCGTGAATGTGGTCAACATTCGATAAAAGCACTACGAGCTAACACCCAGCAAACATTTGGAGTCATAACTGAGTCTTTAAGGAGTCCCATTTCGGAGCCATTACGCTCATAATGAGCTCATTTAAGTGTCCGATACATGGGGTATTTCCCCTTCCTCTGAAGGTCGACTTATATGAGCTTAAATTCACACATCAAATGAGCCTCAATATGAGCTATATTGGATTCTTATTGGCCTCATATACGGCTCATTTTGGACTCATATATGTATGAATCATTTTACACCTTTTTTGGGGCTCTTATCGGTCTCATAAATTGTTACATTCGGACTCTTATTTTAGGTTGTTCTTTGAGTCTTATTGAACGCACTATATTTGCAAAGGCATTCAGCAAATATTCCTTTCAACTAACATATATACATACTTACGTGCATATACACATTCCAACATGCATTCAATAGCAGCTAAATTTTTTCGTTTTCTGTTTTCTAATTATTTTAAATTTCCGTATAAACAAGTTTATATATAAATTTCAAATCTTTATTGCTTTTATATTGGCACAAGGTACTTGCTCATAACTTGGATCATACATAAATCCTAAAAGATTCATATAAGTATAAACAAATTTTTGTTTTTGAAACTCATATTTCTTACCTACATACATAGGACTCGTTTCGGACTCATATATTCTGTCCGCTCAGAATATGTTTGCGGGGCAAACATTATATGTATGTATGTATGTGTGTAAATAAAATTTTAATTTCCTCACTTTCATAAATTTCTTGTCTCCCTCTCCGTTTTTTTCCAGGCTTTTACTTGCATTTTGTGTTATTAAACGATACGTTTTAGTGCCAATTGAAGTCGTAAAGCGCACGCCTCTTGAAACGAACCAACAAAGGGTATTCCGTGTCCTAAAATTATGCTCCACATTGGAAAATTGAATGAAATGGCTTTTCGTAAATAAACACGGGAAAAAAGTAAACACACATTTTGGCATCAACGGCATCCAACACATTTCAACAAAATGCTATCATAAAAATCAAACGACAAATAAATACCTATGTATTAAGGTGGTAAACGCTGCCACAAAACACTAAATACTAATAAAGCTCAAAATTAAAATGTATGACTACTCGTGTGTGAATATTGATATATGTATATTCATGTACTTGTGTATGTACTTGTGTATGTGCATGTGCTGACAGAAAGTTGTAACACGTATAATATATGTAATAGCTTATCTGCTGTTGCGTGCAAGATGAGCAATTTTAATATGACTACCGGGACGTATGAGTGACATTAATGGTGTGACAAATCAGTTTTTCGCTACCAAGGAAAACAATAGGGGCTAAGTTGCCGATAAAACCTGATGAACAAAAGTTATATATGTATATGTACATATATAAATAAACATATAAAGAAATACTAAATTAAATTTTTTTACTTAGCACTCAATTTTTTTTTTGTTTCAAGGCTTTTGTGTACATATATACCAATGTGTGATTAAACGATTTTATGCATTTAATGATAAACGTACATATCAAAATTGTCAACAATTTATAAAATAGAAATATCTGATGTTATTTCGTTTAAATTTAAAATTTTCAGCTTTTTCTTCTCCGATGAAATTGTACAATTGTTAATGAAAACTAATTAAAATTCTGTCATTTGCCACAAATTTAGCCACAAGTGAAACTATGAATTTGTAAAAGCAGCAATTAGAATAATTTTAATTGAAATTTTTATGCAGAAGACGTCATCACTATGGTTTTCTACATACATACATATGTATATACATACTATGCCCAAATGCCAATGTTCTAATATAATAATAAAATCAAGAATATGTTTTATGGATTTTATGCCACAATAAATATGTATTAATAGTTGGAAAATGTTGAAATTAATATGTACACTCTAAAAAATGTTTGCCTAAATTTGCATATATTAATATATGTAACCAATTTCCTCTCTTAATGAATGCAAATTTACACACCGTGTTAATTAAATGAAACACTGTTTGTTTACTTTTAGTTATCACATATGTATGTATGTGGCGTAGAACAAATTTCAAATTTGGGTTTTGAGTTCTAAACATTTATTGTTCATAATCCCATAGTTTACACATAAAATGTTTGAAATTTCCCCTAAATTTTTTTTGTTAATTTACGCATATAAAAAGAGGTGACCAGTTTCCTCTCCTAATGTGTGCAAAATTAAACACTGTTTGTAGAGAAAAATTACACTCAAAGTATTTAAAATTGAGTAAATATGAGCACTTAAAATTTATTTTTTGTAAAAAAATATATTGTTACCTTCAGAGTGTATATCAAACCTCCGAGTGTATTTTCGTCATGAAAAAGCGAAAGGAGGGTAAAACCGTTGGGATTAATTTATTAATTGGAGCAAAAGCTTGGCCAAGGACTTAGCGAAATGTGTGAAGCGCCATTCTCTGTTGTAGTTGTGTGATTTGTACGTGTGTAAATGAGCCTCTTCGCATGTATTTAAACAAAATGTTTTTAAAGTCATATTTGCGCAATAGTTGGTTTACAAAAAAATCGCAAAAAGTATACAAAAATATTTTTTTAACAAAACTTAATTCCCAATGCATTGACGAAAGTTTCGTCTTCAAATCACCACTTTGTTATGAGAACAGATTGAGATTTTGGAGAAATATTGAATAGTTTAAACTTTATCCAAGCTGACCGTGATATTTTGGAAAAATTCGCTGCTTTCAAGCCGACTTGCCAAGGATTGGCAAGTCCATACTTTTCAAATCAGTACGTTAAAATTTTTCGAAATTTGATCATTTTATTCCTAGACACGATGGAACATATTTTTTCAATTTTATGACTTTTCATCTATCAATTACTATGATCCTGCCAAGGACCAAGGACCTCGCAAGTCGGTGATTTGAAGTTGCTCTAGATAATTTTGTTTATTTTATTTCAGGACAGCAGGCAACATATTTTTGAGCAGTCGGCTCTCCAACTATAACTGAAACTTTTAGGGTATTTTTTCATGCACCTTTGTTTTATCTTTATTTATTTATCACTTTTTTGGGTTATGTATGCCATTATTTTAGCAAACGAGTGCTATGTNGCATATATTAATATATGTAACCAATTTCCTCTCTTAATGAATGCAAATTTACACACCGTGTTAATTAAATGAAACACTGTTTGTTTACTTTTAGTTATCACATATGTATGTATGTGGCGTAGAACAAATTTCAAATTTGGGTTTTGAGTTCTAAACATTTATTGTTCATAATCCCATAGTTTACACATAAAATGTTTGAAATTTCCCCTAAATTTTTTTTGTTAATTTACGCATATAAAAAGAGGTGACCAGTTTCCTCTCCTAATGTGTGCAAAATTAAACACTGTTTGTAGAGAAAAATTACACTCAAAGTATTTAAAATTGAGTAAATATGAGCACTTAAAATTTATTTTTTGTAAAAAAATATATTGTTACCTTCAGAGTGTATATCAAACCTCCGAGTGTATTTTCGTCATGAAAAAGCGAAAGGAGGGTAAACCCGTTGGGATTAATTTATTAATTGGAGCAAAAGCTTGGCCAAGGACTTAGCGAAATGTGTGAAGCGCCATTCTCTGTTGTAGTTGTGTGATTTGTACGTGTGTAAAAGAGCCTCTTCGCATGTATTTAAACAAAATGTTTTTAAAGTCATATTTGCGCAATAGTTGGTTTACAAAAAAATCGCAAAAAGTATACAAAAATATTTTTTTAACAAAACTTAATTCCCAATGCATTGACGAAAGTTTCGTCTTCAAATCACCACTTTGTTATGAGAACAGATTGAGATTTTGGAGAAATATTGAATAGTTTAAACTTTATCCAAGCTGACCGTGATATTTTGGAAAAATTCGCTGCTTTCAAGCCGACTTGCCAAGGATTGGCAAGTCCATACTTTTCAAATCAGTACGTTAAAATTTTTCGAAATTTGATCATTTTATTCCTAGACACGATGGAACATATTTTTTCAATTTTATGACTTTTCATCTATCAATTACTATGATCCTGCCAAGGACCAAGGACCTCGCAAGTCGGTGATTTGAAGTTGCTCTAGATAATTTTGTTTATTTTATTTCAGGACAGCAGGCAACATATTTTTGAGCAGTCGGCTCTCCAACTATAACTGAAACTTTTAGGGTATTTTTTCATGCACCTTTGTTTTATCTTTATTTATTTATCACTTTTTTGGGTTATGTATGCCATTATTTTAGCAAACGAGTGCTATGTGCGTATGTATATATTTTAGAAAATTCCAAAAATATTAACCAACACATATACACATTATTTACGTACCTGCATTCGTTGATGCATTCGAATGATTCACTGTGACCATCGACGCGCCCGCTGAATTCGCATTGGTATTATTGGCATTCAATGCATTACTACCCGCATTACTACTGCCACCATTTAGCAACGCCACTGTTGCATTTGTGCCATTTAAATTTGGTTGCTGCTGTTGTTGTGCCATAAGTGCTGCATGCGCCTCGTTTTTATTGGGAAAACTTAGGCGATGCTGTTGGTTATCGATCGTCATTGGTGATATAAGCGCTTGATTACTGCTGCTGCCATTCGAACTGAGCGGTGAGACGATGCTATCCGCAGCACCAGTAGGCGTTATCTCTTGGGCCGATGCAGTTGCTATTGCAGTCGCTGTTGCTGTTGCTGTCGCTGGCGTTGGCGCTGAAATCGATACTGCTATGTTACGTTTACTGTAAACAAGTGCCGTTGCTGGCGATGTTTGTATCGAGGCAATGGAGGTTGGTAGATTAGCGGTGGATGATAAAACAGATGCGTTAGCCGTTGTTAAATTTGCTGCCGTTACACTTTTGACATTTAATGCGGATTGTGCTGCTGTCACTGTCGTTGTTGTGACAGCTGTGGTGCTGTTGTTGCTGGTGCTTCCGCTGCCGTGATCCAGCGATAATATCGGCTTTAGCGGTTTATTATTGTTGATCGTTTTTTCGTTAATCGTTGCAATGCTTGAGTCAAGCGATTTAATATTTTTCTGTAACGAAGAAAATAAGCTGATATGAAAGTATGTCCTTGCTTGCGTTTAATGCAGAAATGGGTTTTATTTCAAAATATTACTCATTAAAAAATGGGAAACATGCAATAATAATATGGGGTAGCATATTTTTAGATCAATTATTTATATTTAAAGTTGATTAAGTCAGTGCCCAGCGAAGTGGAGTGTGAATTACGTTGAAGATTAGAAGCTTATAAATACATAGAAACACCCCGTCAATTAATGGTTTTTTTTAAATAAATTTTAATTCATATATTTTCTTAACTTGCGTCCGGTATTTGGAATGAATAGTTTCTTAATAATAAAAATAATTATTATATTACGGCGCATACATTTTTGCCAAGTGTTTGGCCGAGCTTCTCCTTCAACTTGTACTGTGCGTCGTGATATTGTTACACAAATGGAGGAACCTACAATTTTACGCCGGCGGTTAAGAGAAAATTTTTTAAATGCTGCCCGGACCAGGGATCGAACACAGATCCCACGGAGTAGTAGTACGCATCTCTAACCACTCAGTCACAGATGGACCTAAAAACTGTTACAACTGGGCTGGCAAGCCATTCTTTTGTAATTTTGATTTTCGCTTTACTCGCAATAGAGATCTTGCTAATTGATTTGGGCGCACTAAAAGATTCTAAATTTCCCCGTTGCTCTATTTGAGTTCGTACTTCTGGCCTTCTCTAGTCGCGGTGGATATTCTGGCTTCGAATATACCAGCAGGGTGCTCCGGTAATTATTCGAGGGATTTTGGATTGCGCACGACGTCATGCCATGCTCAATAAAATGCCCCGGCGACGTCAAGAAGCATTACAGCGCAATATTCCATCTTGAGTGGGGCAATGCTTCAATCCGGCGATGTGTGAGTAGATGTACCCCGCAATGGGGGTCGTCAACGACTTGTTGGTGGCTCTGGAGCGAAAGTTTCTGGAAACACTTTTTGAACTCATGCAAGGTTACCCGAACTTTGGTTGAAAACCGGGCTTTTAGCTGTGGGCTGAGTGTGAACCCTATCAAAACTTAGCTTGTTATTTTTACTAGGAGGTATAGGTACCGACTTGCCATCTTCCCTCAATGGGCATCTTCCACTAAGGCTTTCTGACACGCTGAAGTACTTGGGGTTGATCCTTGACGGCAAGCTTTTATAGGAAAGTATCAAGAAGGCAACATTAGCTTTATATTGCTGTAGGGAAGCATCGTTAAGCAGCCGAAGGAGCGCAAGGAGCAGTCTTAATTACAGTCAGTGGAGTACTTCGAACCACTCCTACTCTGGAGTTTAATGATATGCTAACCGTTGTGCCCATAGATATAGCAGGCAAAGCCCCCGCTGCCCGTGCCGCAGAAAGATTAAGTGATGGCTTTAAGTTCGCTTTGGGCTATGGGCACGCCAGTATTCTAAAAAGCTTGGTGTTCCTACCAACTCGAACAGACCACTGCACGCCGAGTTTAGGTCCGATGTGGGTGGGAAGCTAAATGGGAAGCTGGGGGAGGTGCGTTTTNACAAAGCCCCCGCTGCCCGTGCCGCAGAAAGATTAAGTGATGGCTTTAAGTTCGCTTTGGGCTATGGGCACGCCAGTATTCTAAAAAGCTTCGTCTTCCTACCAACTCGAACAGACCACTGCACGCCGAGTTTTGGTCCGATGTGGGTGGGAAGCTAAATGGGAAGCTGGGGGAGGTGCGTTTTTCTAGGCAGAGGTAGCTGCGATACAGGAGGCTTCGAATTGGCTGTCCAATAGTGCAATGCCTTTCTAGGAGGTGACTATCTATTCCGACACACAAGCAGCTATTTAGGCTCTTCCTCTCTGATGGTTCGGTCGAGATCGGCGAGGGATTGCTTGACCTCCCTATCGAACGTTTCAGATTATTAGGCTATTAACTTATTTGGATTCCAGGAACCAGTGAAATTGCTGTAAACTGCATGACCGATGAGCAGGCAAGACAGGCTGCTCTTAACGAACTGCAAGCAAGCAAACTCCTTCTGGCCACAGAAGGGGGCTGTCCAGTGAACTCTTGGGACTAAGCAAGGTACACCTTTCGCTAGTGGTGAAAGTTTTAACTGGTCACTGCATGATAGGATAACATGCGGTAAGACATAATATCATCGTTGACGCCTATCGCACCAGCTGCATACGAGACGATGAGGAGGAATTGTTTCAGCACCTGCTGATCTGGTGTCCTGCTTTTGCGAACCTTATGTTTAAGCAACTTGGGTCGCACTTTTTCCATACTACCGACGAGCTTTCGGGAAAGGATATCAGTCGGAGCTTCGTGGAAGCAGTAGGTGTCCTACCCCCACCTTCTTCGTCTTTGTTATCATCTTAATTCCCCCTTCCCTGTGTATCTTATTCCTTCTCCTCATTAGGGGCATCACAATGGATAGCGCAATCATTGTCTAGGTGTAAATGCACTGACGGACCTCTAACTTACTTATACCTTCTATTCGCTGTTCGGATTTTTGATGTGATGGGATTTACTACTCGATCGTTGCATGATTTTACCTCAAGCATTCATAAGAAATGTAAGCCGTTTTTCTTGCAAATCATTCTTTGTAAATCGTACACTGAACTTGATTATTTGTCTTTCGTTTTCTTGGTTTACTAAATAGTACATTCTGCAAAACAGTATATACCCAAATAATGTTTGAAAATATATCAATAAAAATATTTCTAAAAAAAAAAAATGCTAAATTCCTGATAATGATGATGGCTGCAGTCGTTGAGGATACATGCAAAGAGGTAAAAGCAAAGTGAAAATATTTAAATTTATTTACAAGAAGGATGAAGTGTGGAAATAGCAAAATTTTAAGGCATAAAATACGATCTGAAGTCATTTGAAATTTGAGCATATGTGCGCATTTGAGATAGTTGAGTAAGCGAGTACAAAGAAATTGTACACACACTATACACACATGCAAGCGCACCGCAAAGAGCTACAGGTTAGAAGGCAAGCAAATATTTTAAAGGTGAAAAATTATTTAAAATAAGAAAAAAAATTGGTGTGGAATGCACACAGCTGCCAAGGTGGAAAGTGTGGAAAAGAATGCGGTGAAGGGTTGAGCAGAGTTAGAAAGGGCATGCAAAAAAATTAAAAATTTTCTATTCACACATTTCTTACGTTTTCTTCTTCGCATTTTGCTTGTGCTCAAAGGAATGTTTTTATGGAAGGTGCAAACATACACATGCATTTTAAACATAAAAATATTGAAGACGTCGAAAATGGTGAGAAAAGAGCATTTTTATTTCGCTTATTTTTTCTAGTTTATATTCGTAATTTTTTTGCGTGATTGAGTAGCAAAGAAAAGTGAGGAAGGATAGATGCATTGGTTTGTACGTGCATGTATGTACTTACAGATTCGCTCAGTTTGTGCAGCGAAGCGTTAATGCGATCCGGATTGCGCGGCGGTGGTTCTGGTGGCTCAGACGCAGCCATTGTGGGACCANAAAATATTTAAATTTATTTACAAGAAGGATGAAGTGTGGAAATAGCAAAATTTTAAGGCATAAAATACGATCTGAAGTCATTTGAAATTTGAGCATATGTGCGCATTTGAGATAGTTGAGTAAGCGAGTACAAAGAAATTGTACACACACTATACACACATGCAAGCGCACCGCNGAAATATTTAAATTTATTTACAAGAAGGATGAAGTGTGGAAATAGCAAAATTTTAAGCATAAAATACGATCTGAAGTCATTTGAAATTTAAGCATATGTGCGCATTTGAGATGGTTGAGCAAACGAGTACAAAGAAATTGTACACACACTATACACACATGCAAGCGCACCGCAAAGAGCTACAGGTTAGAAGGCAAGCAAATATTTTAAAGGTGAAAAATTATTTAAAATAAGAAAAAAAATTGGTGTGGAATGCACACAGCTGCCAAGGTGGAAAGTGTGGAAAAGAATGCGGTGAAGGGTTGAGCAGAGTTAGAAAGGGCATGCAAAAAAATTAAAAATTTTCTATTCACACATTTCTTACGTTTTCTTCTTCGCATTTTGCTTGTGCTCAAAGGAATGNAACTTAAATTTTTCTATTCGCACATTTCTTACGTTTTCTTCTTCGCATTTTGCTTGTGCTCAAAGGAATGTTTTTATGGAAGGTGCAAACATACACATGCATTTTAAACATAAAAATATTGAAGACGTCGAAAATGGTGAGAAAAGAGCATTTTTATTTCGCTTATTTTTTCTAGTTTATATTCGTAATTTTTTTGCGTGATTGAGTAGCAAAGAAAAGTGAGGAAGGATAGATGCATTGGTTTGTACGTGCATGTATGTACTTACAGATTCGCTCAGTTTGTGCAGCGAAGCGTTAATGCGATCCGGATTGCGCGGCGGTGGTTCTGGTGGCTCAGACGCAGCCATTGTGGGACCAGAAGAAGTGCCGTTTATTTGCATAATATTCAATGAAGATTAGTGTTGTTGGTTGCCCAAGTAATGGTGGATAATGGATAAGAGGCAGTTGGAGTATTCGTTTGTTTTTTTTTTTTTGCTTTTTTGGGTTTACTTTTTTTCTGAGAGCTTAAATTTATTTTTTATCGAATAATCGTCAAAAGCCTTAATAAGTAGTTTATATGATTTACTAACTAGTTTCGCTTGAAATGTTTTTGATTTTGTTTGAGTTTTTAATTTGCATGTTCAACGCTTCCGAGTTGAACTCGAAATATTTTTTGTTTAGCACTGCAGCATCTGCAAGAAAAAATCAAGATTTAAAATTAAATTCAATTAATGAAATTTAGTGGAAAATGATGATAAAGGAAATAAATAGGAAATTCAGTTAAACATTTAAGCATGACTTTCAATGAATTCTTTTGGCGAAGTTATAATTAAAAGGTTACTTAAATTAAGGGCTTTAACACTGATCAGATGCCTCAGCCATGACGGAACTCCGGATAGACAAGTGACTAACTGGACTCTTCCCCAACAGCGGAGTAATGAGATCAGAACTAGGAGGAGCTATTATTCGTAGACCAGACAATTGATATATCCTTTATGGGGAGTCCTCTCTGCTTTCCTATGGGTACGATGATCCATTACTGATTCTTAAAAAAATATATCTTTTTTTCGCTCCACCCTAAAGAATGAAATGCAATTTTTAAAATATATTCATATTAAATTCAAATAAAAAAGTGATTAGTCACTTAATTGCTTTCTTGAAACTGGGTGGTAATGGTGTGTGTCTTGCCATTAGCGCACGCAAGGTGTGGGTTTTGAGATTCTAGGTAACCTAAAATATAGAAAAAAATAGAGAATTGCCACCTGATTGAAATTAAAACAAATTGATAAGATAAAGTAAATATTGCAATATGGCTGCCAAACGCAAAAGGTTTAAGAAAGCTTACAGCCGAAAATGTTTTCGTGGGAGTTGCTACATGTTTGAAATGTTTTGTAATTTAATTTAATTGATAAGACAAATAAAATATTCCACTATAGGCATCACACTGCAGAGGTTTGGGAATGTTTACTGCCGAAAACATTTTTTTAGGAGACTTTCCACCTGTTTGTGAAATTTTATTTAAATAAATGAAATATTACAGTACGAGTATCAAACAACACAAAAATAGTTTTAAGGCGCAGTGAAGCACGCCTGGTATTGGCTAGTCGAAAATAAAAATATTAAAAAAAGTGGTTTTCTTAACAGCGGCCGTCCTTCGGCGGGCAATGGCAAACCCTTAATTATATTTTTACCATGAAAAAGCTTCTCGTAATATCCATTTGCCGTTAGATAATAGTACCCTCTTTAAGTGCATAAATAAGCGAGGAACAAACAAACTTTTTTTTAAAAAGGCTAAACAAAATACATAAATTAAATATCTAACCTTCCACTGCAATCATTAATTAAATCCAAGCTGTTCAATTCATCAGCTTTCAAAATTTATGCCAATTTGGCTGCCATCATGGCCGTATCTGCGTGCAAGTAAACTAAAGCTCACTTGAGCATAAAAATGTTCGAAGTTTTCAGGTTTAAAATGGTTTTAATTTGTNGGTGGAAAATGATGATAAAGGAACTAAATAGAAAATTCAGTTAAAAATTTAAGCATTAATTTCAATGAATTGTTTTGGCAAAGTTATAATTAAAAGGTCACTAAAATGAGGGCTTTTACACTGATCAGTTGGGGAGCTATTATTCGTAGACCAGACAATAGAGGTATCCTTTATTGGGAGTCCTCTCTGCTTTCCTATGGGTACGATGATCCATTAGTGATTCAGGCTTAAAAAAATTTTTTTTTTCGCTCCACCCTAATGAATGAAATGCAATTTTTGAAATATATTCATATTAAATTCAAATAAAAAAGTGATTAGTCACTTAATTGCTTTCTTGAAACTGGGTGGTAATAGTGTGTGTCTTAAAAAGGCAAAACAAAATACATACATTAAATATTTAGCCTTCCACTGCAATCATTAATTAAATCCAAGCTGTTCAATTCATCAGCTTTCAAAATTTATGCCAAATTGGCAGCCATCGTGGCCGTATCTGAGTGCAAGTAAACTAAAGCTCACCTGAGCATAAAAATGTTCGAAGTTTTCAGGTTTAAAATGGTTTTAATTTGTTTAACAAATTACTGCAAGCCCTCTCCATTTTGCATAATCCAATTTCGCCTCGCTTTTGGCAAGTACAGGTAATTTTTTTTCATGCTTAACTTCGAACTACAAAATTTTCCAATGCTTTTTTTTTTTCTTCTGCAATAATGCCCGCTATTATTATTTTATGAATTTTACCTACGTCAACCTCTATGCGCACATCGTTTCTCGTAAATTAATTCACCTGCTCAAAGTTGGCAAACTTTTGCCCTATTAGTTAGTTGGTGAGCGTCAGGCTGGATGCAACATATTCCGCGCGCCAAAACTATGTGCGTAAAAAAGTTCTACGAAATTTCTTTTTTCTTTGATTATCCGTNCAACTATGTATGTGCGTAAAAAAGTTCTACGAAATTTCTTTTTTCTTTGATTATCCGTATAACCATACTTTTTGCATTTTTTCTACTACATATATTTGCTTTCTTCTCGTCATTTTTTCTTTGTTGCGTATCGACTTTAGCAATTTTTTTGTTTTGAAAATTTTTTCCCCACATTTGATGGGTCGCTTTCGATTTGCTGGCGATTCGAATTTTATTTGGGTTATTGGGTACCAATGCAAACATATGTATGTATGAGCTTATTTATGTGTACATATTTTCAATGGCGAGTGCACGAAAGTAATAGCCAAATGGAAAAAACAAACAGTGCTTGTTAAGGCATATGGCTTTATATGACCATATGTATGTATGTATATCTACATATGTTTGTATTCATATAAGGGCATGTGTGTGTGTGTGTGTTTTTTGCGCAGTTATTCGCATGTGTATTTGACCGCGTTCGCATGAGTTGCGAGGACGTTACGCATGAGTGAAATTTCATTTACCCAAAACAAGAGTTCTCTTTTTTTTGCAGTTCAGAAAAACTTTCGTTCACTCGCATATTCACCTGCGCACTCAAATGACCAAAATCATGAGTTCTGTGTTTGTATTTCTTTTGCCACATTTTCATGTTTGTGCTACACTCCTAATTCCTATTACTCCAGATTACTTCTAATGCTGGCTTAACGAGTGCAATTCAAAATAGTTACGAATTTTTTTTTTTTTTGGTATTTCACCTTCTGCAGCTGCGTTGTCGTGACAGTTTGGTTTTGATCCACGAATTCGAGCAGTTTTAGAAATTTTTATTATTCTTGTGAAACATTTAGATTAGGTTGGGTCATGACTCATGAGAATAGTTTGAAATGAGAATTTAGCTTAAAAAAAAACTAATATCGTGAACCGATTTGAAAAAGTTCAATTTGTTCCAAGCGATTTTCAATACTCTCTATGAGCGTATTTCAGGCAAAATATTTCAAATCGAAAATAACACTTATTTTTGACATTTCAGTTCAAGTAGTCAGACAGAAATGGATTGTTTAAATCATATCTGAATAGCCAATAAATTTTAACCTGAAACTAGTAAGCTGGTATTTTTATCGAAAAAATAAAAGAGATATTTTGACTATTATTTTTGATTGAAGAAATGTTGACCGTAATTTTTAGCAAAAAATGAAAATTCAAATATTACGTGTTATTACTTTTATTTTCAATTGAAAAATCAAATCAAATTTCCCCACTTAATTTTTTATCGAAAACATATCGATGGAAAAATTAACATCTATTTATCGCCTTTTTTTGAAAAAAAAAAACAAGAGTTACACTCCCTGGATTTTTTCTATAGCTTCTTTATTTTGGGTGCGTTTGCTATAGTTTATGTTTCCGTTTAACATATCCTTTTTTTGGGTGAGCTTAATTCAATATGATGGAAAATGTGCTCGTTCAATGGTGTATTTATTTAACCCTGCTTACATAACACGGTGCGTCAATTTTATGGCAATTCAACTCAGCCCGGACTTAGCTAATATTTTTTGA